CAAGACTTACCACTACCAACATTTACCAACATTTAATTGAAATTTAAGCTGTTTGCAAGAACAGTCAACAAGTTGCGCAGGTTCTAAAACAAGGTTAAGGTCAATGATCATACAGTTCTAGTACTAAGAAACAAAAGCGGACAAAACAGTACAATTTCCGTAAACATGTTACTTTATATACATGTACTCCAAAGACTTTTGTATTAAAAATTATGACTTGTAAAATTAACTACTTATATATTTATATATATGAGTTCACTCGGAAATTTTCTTAGTTTTCAAGTGACCAATTTACGGGGATAGTCGACCAACTGCTGTTGGGCGAGTAATTTGCCATAACATGTTTATATAAAGGGTTACATGCATTCCCTTCTTTATTATAATATCTTTCAGGTATAAAAGTAATACAACTCAATAAATAATAAAAAGGACGCCATGCCAGGGCTTTTTATATTTTACTACACGGTATGAGTTTTTTCCAATGTGCAAGGCCGTACAATGAGTGCTTTATAGTTGATTAAATAAAATAAATAAAATAAATAAAATAAATAAAATAAATAAAATAAATAAAATAAATAAAATAAATAAATAAATAATCTTTATTTCAAGAGGATAATCTCATTAGTTAAAACTAATCTTCCTGAGAGTCCTCAAAATAATAATAACATACAATGTATTTATAAAGTACATACAATATTATAATGATATTATAATGATATATACACAATATAGAGTTTTTATATAGATATTAATGAGAAAGCATATTTATTTGCACAATTTATGAAAAATTTGTAACATTTTGTTTTAAAAGATACAAGTGTATTATTCATCTTTATTTCATTTGGTAAACTGTTCCATATTTGAGAACCCGAATATGTAAATGTTTTCTTCAAAAAATTTGTTTTAAATTTGGCTTCGAAAGATTTAATAGTTTTTCATCAGCAGAACGTGAATTATAATTTTGATTATCAGTAAAATGAAAGTTTTCTTGCAAATAGTTAGGAACCATATCCTTTAAAGATTTAGATACAAGTATTGCCTTCTGATATTGAAATTGTTTTTTCGCATTCAACCAGTTCAACCAATAAACCGGAGGATGTCATTATTTCAGCTTCTACTATAACCCTAGCAGATTTCTTTAATAACTTATTAAGTTTATTTACTTCACTTTCATAACAACTACCCCATATATTGCAACAATAATTAAACAATGGCAGAATATAAGCATTAAAATAAATAATACGTACATGTATATGCATAGGTAAATAATTTCTTATCTTTTGTAATAAGTTGATTCTATTTGATATTGTACATGACATTTTATCTATTTACTCATTTCAATTTAGGTTTTTGTCAATATATAAACCTAGAAGTTTTTCACAATCTACATTCTCTATTTGATCATCTGAAACATTGATATCTAAATTGTTCCCAGTTGAATAAAGCCTCTGTTTTGAACCAATAAATATTGATTTACATTTTTTGGCATTTAGTTTCATACAGTTTTGCGAAAACCAGTTTTCAATTATATAAATATCATTTTGAAGGTTAGCATTTAACTCATGTACATTATAACCTTTACTATGTAAAATAGAATCATCTGCATATAAATCTATTAATGATTTTTCTATGTTCAGTGGTAAATCATTGATGTATAAAATAAATAACAGAGGGCCAATGATAGAGCCCTGTGGTACACCAGTTTTTATGTATTTAGTATAAGACATTACGTTATTGACCTTAACTTGTTTTATATACAAGTATTGATTAAATCCTTTCGTTTGATTTCTGATGAATAGTTGTCTCATTAGCAATCATACTACAACTCTATATCTTTAGTTCAAAAGTGAAAAAGATATAATATTGGTTGTTGATGTCTATTATATTTTCATCATAATCAATAACTATCGATTCAATGTAAATATATTCTAATACTAAATTTTAAATATGAAACACTATATGTGATCTATTTTAGTCTATCTTTTACAGACATTTTAATAGGGTTATCGTATGTCTATTACGACTATATACAAATGTAAAACTGGCTTGATATCTAAAACGATTTATTAACAGTTTTCATCGATTGTTTCATTAACTATTGATGAAACATGTGCATCATTTAATAATTCATTACTTTCTAAATTAAATTCTAGGACATGAGATGTTTTTAAAATTAAGTACAGAAAGGACACCTTTATGTCAATTCTATATCAAATTTAAATTCAAGGGACAAAACAGGAAATTCAATTCAAGATTTTCAGAACAGCTGATGGTCTTCTGTCATATATTTTTACTTCTGTTGAAATTGATGTAAAGTCTCTTAGTCGAATAATGGTCTTTACGATACGAAATCCGAAGTTTTTTTCATATATAACATAAAACTCGTATCATGCCGCGTATTTTGAAGACAATAATAACATATTGAAAAACATGTCTAACCTAGTACTGAACTAAAACTAATTCAGCTAATGAATAATCAATTGAAGAAAATTAAATATAAAACAAATTTAAAACAAAACTCATGACAATGAAGGCTATCTTAATTGTACGGTCATATCCCAAAAAGTATCGAGAATCGACATAAAGTCTTTATTTCTCACTATAAGAACAGTAATGTTAATGATGTGGTGAACTTTCAGTTTTTTTGGTTTTTTTTAAGTCGTTTAAGTATTTTAGGTTTAGGCAATACATTCTTACTTCAAATCTCAAATATCTTTAAAGAAATCAAAAATTATGGTGAAATTTAAAGAAAGGCATAAATTCTGGGAAAAAACAGGACCGGCTGCGTTGACAGATATAATTGTCTCCTGCTATACATGAATCAACCGCCTTTTGAATACACACTTAATCAAAATGTCACAATGGTAATAGGACATAATCGGTAGATTTATAGATCAGATGAAATTTCTGGTATCTGATGATCTAAGATCGCGACAGCAAGTCGCAATCGAGTTGAAACACAAACATATATAGTATCGGTCAGTCAACTTGCAATGGTGATCGTAAAACATATTTTAAGTCGCTGTTCCTCATAACCCTATATGCACAGTATCAGGAGCACACCTCCGTAAATGACGTTCATATAGTATAAACATACACGAACGTAACGTATTAAGGTAACTTCCGATACTAAGGGAGATAACAACGTTTTACTGATGTAAAACTGGTTCCCTGTTTAATCTTAGGATATATCGCCTATATATCTGGGTCACGGGTACAGTTCCGTTGTAGCCTGTTTATAACGTGTGTAAACAACTTACAGCTGATCGCACGGAAGAGAGGAAGGTTTATCAAAAAGATTAAACTCATGCGTTCGTTTAAAATGAAGAATATGAATAGCTTCAGCTTGAAAGTTCACACAGTCTTAAATGATTCTCAACTTATAAGATCATATGATACAAGTTTTTGTGAGTTGGAGAAAATTCGGCGTCCGATCACAGTGACCTTTCGTTTGACGAAACCTGGAAAGAAGGTCGACAGCTAGCTCTGGCTCACCACCTAGCGCAGAATCTGTTCGTTAAGATGTGTGACTGTCCCCTGTCCATACCATGGTACCTTGTAGTAGCTGCAGTGCATGTAACCTGCATATCATGCATATGTAACAGCGTAGATACGAGGAAAAGAAATGGGCCTGGTGAATTTGTTATCAATTCAAAAGCTGCACTTGGTAAGAGATTTAAATTTTCTCTCTAGATTCTCTTTACACATTTTACTTGGTGGAGAAGGTGTATGGTTTCATGTCTTGTTTTAATGAACCCGCCCGACACCTCTCTTTTTCTTTCTTGAATTCCCCTCTATTATGGTCTGGGGGTATGTGTGGTGTGAGGGTAAAAAGCATAATTTTGAGGAGAAGTGCTGCCCAAATTTTTTAGGAAGCTGGACTTAGTAATTATTCTGGAATTTTGCCCCTGGAAGTTATTCTATTTATCATTTTTTGCAATGAACAGAAAGACAACAGCATAAGGGGCTTTTTAGTTTTGCATCCAAAAGGGGAGGATTATTTTGTAAATAATTATTTGGTAGCAATTTATCATAAATGAAATTAGAATTGAAAACAAATACAGTCACAATGATTCATTCACAGAAATAATGTTTTACAAACTTGAAATATTAGTTGTCTTTATCTTATAATCAGAATTTTCATATTAATCATCTTTTGCATGTGATCATAGACCAAGTGGGCTGATACCTTAGAGATTTAGTCATTTAAAAACACAGATAGAATGATGTGTAGAATGCAGGATAATGCATGAAGGGAAAAGAGAAAATGAGGAAGGGGCATGCAAGCCACACCCACCCTCACTCCACATTATTAGAAATTTATATGAGTCTGTGATCTATAAGAATAAAGGCAAATATGAATTTACAATCATATTATATAAATATAAATTTAAAAAAAAAAAATTGTATATTCCAAATAAAATTATGAACTCAAAAGTCTAAATAGTTTATCTAATTAACCAATGCGCAGACTGACATTTCATATCATATTTTTCAGGAATGATACATGCAGGAATTAGTGCCACACATTTTAACAATTTTCTTAATGGATTGAATATACTTTTCTGTGAATTCATCCACCATAAAGAAAAAGGAGAATAAAACCGGAAAGAAAATATTTGCAGATGCAAATAAAAGAATCCTGTCAATTAAATCAGGAAAAGAAACAGCTTTAAACATGGTTAATATAATGAGTAATTGGAAGGTGATTAAATCTTTAGTTAAATAATTGCAAAGTATTTTTTTGATAATTTACCAAAATAGATATAAAGTATAATGAGGACTATAATTATATTCATATTTGCCCTAGCAGTCATAAAAATGAATTAACAGATCTTGGTAATAATTTCAAGTTTAGGGTCAATATTTCAAATTAATTTTTTGGTAAAGCAGTGTTATATATACTTGAAGACTTTGATGTATAGATCATGACAGAATTTGTTTCAACAAAAACATTGAACTAGAATTAGTTACATTGGTATTTATTAAATGAAATCTATATTTATGGATAATTTCAACAAATTTAATGAACCCAATTTGGTTTTGAAAGCCTTTATACATTATTATTACAAATTTCATTGTTGACAGCCTGAGTTTCCAGTTAATTTTAAATGTAATATGTTTTAGCTATAGTATTTGAACACTGCATGTACTTTCATTAATATATGTTGTACTACTTTTTTTTCATTAGGTTGAAGCCAGTTTTGTTGCAGAATAGCAAATGTTTGGTACTGGTTGGAACTATGAAAGTAATACAGGTAAATTTAAAGAATTAAGGCTTTAACTTTGTTAATAGAAAAGAAATGCCCAAATGTCAAGGTCAAAGTGGACCTTGTAGATTCTAAACACCCTTGTGAAATCTTTAGAAGCAACAGTCTTCTATGGTGAGAGGATGCCATACTTTGCAATGTTCATATTATTATATGGAATATGATATTTTTTCAGTTTGTGAGTGAATTTATAGTTAATTTATTTTAAAAAAAATGGCTCGTTTATCATTATTTTTATTATTTTGTTATTGAACAACCGAAATTGATAACAAGTAATATAAAAGTCTCACTCATTATGAATCCTATAATTATATAAATTTACTCTCAATACGATTTTTATTATATTTCTTATCAATTGTAGGTCTTATGGTGGATCATCATCCTTTAAAGAACAGCAGGTTATTAGCAGCAGTTTTACAGAAAAATGAAGGATATAAATGGCTGTCAATGGTAAATACACACATTTTAGGATAATTACATACAGTTACCTTTGAGAAATAAACTTGAGGTTTCATTTGATACTTTTTAATCTGATAATGGTGTTTTGCTGGCATAGACATTTCTTTTTGGACAATAGATTTAGTAACTTTTAGTTTGCCTCAAGTTGAAATGCACAATTTCATATCTCATCAACTATAAATTGTAGGATCATGTAAACTTGTACAAAGATGACAAACATTTGCCACTTCACTGACTTTGGTTATATTAAACATCCAATTTCATATCTCAGCAACCATATTTAAAGGTGTCAGATCATGCAAACTTATATACACAGATGACTCTCAGAGTCTCAGTTAGTACCTCAGCTTCCAGGCAAAAGAAGGTTAGAGTGATCCACATTTTACACTATTGATTTGTACTTTATCTTATTATTTAATAAATATAAAGTATATTATAAAGACTGCCACTGGTTCCTATGTGCCACAATGAAGCTAACTATGTGATGTAGATTACTTATGTTTATCACAAACTTGGTCACATGTTGTATATGTAAATGTATACCAAAAAGAACAGTTCAACTGTATTGATTTAAGGTAAATGGTCAAGGTCACAGCTATTAAATATATACCTTGAATTTGCATTTGTATTGGGCACTATAATGCTCCCTATATTGTCACTTATATTTCATTCCAAATTGCCATTGAACATTAAAAAAAACACTAAAAAGGATGTACATCATATGCAGAAGCAATATAAAATTGCATACCCATCAGGTGACCTAATTATTGTAATCACTTCAAAAACCTGGCCATATATCACATTATGATATTAAACGCTTAATGAGTACCTTTGTTAGTCAGGTATATAATCTTTTTAAATTGATGTTTTAATACATGATTGGATTAATTTTGCACTATAATACTATATATTACACCTTTTCATTACAAAATAATAAATTAAACTTTTAGGTAAATGCAGCATCAGAACGTTCCCCCGGCAAATTTACTCTGAAAGTTTGGGAAAGTATGAATTAGAAATTGGAGAGGCAAAGAGATAACCAGAAAACACAGAATTTATAAGAGAAGAATTGAAATAAAAAGAATAGAAAGAAGGTCCCATGTAGTTCAAATGTTAAAGAAGGAACAACATATGAAATAGAAACTGAAGTAAACGACAATGCTTTAGTGCTTGTGACATTCAGCAAATTCCTTCTCATATTCTTTATAATATATATATATATATATAGATCAATGTGTAAAATTTGATTTTCAAACAAGACGCCTTTCAAGAAATAGTGACATCACTCAGGTAGCAGCTGTCAGTGGATCAAACCTATTCCAGAGATGTAATATGCCAAGATGTGACATTTTAAATGAAGGGAGCAAAATAACTGGTATTTTCTTTTCGTAATGCCACTAATAGTAATATGATATATCTGAATGGGAGCAACCTGTACTATTCAATATGGATCGAAGGATTGACAATTTTGACAGGGAACAAAATGAACTCTAATTATGCTATGACTATCAATCAGTATTTGACTGAATCAGAGGAGTAAACTATATACATATTTTTAAATATAACAGTATATTTTGCTTAATTATTGAGGCATTAAAAATAAAGAAAGTTGAAAAACCTTTGAAAAAGTTATAATTTCATCATTTTTTGCTTATGTTACTATGACATCTGAAAATATATAATGTATTATTATTATGCTTCATCAAACTTAAATCATTAATTGAGGACAGGGTGACAAAGTCTTGACATTTTTTTAATCCATTTACTTGCATGACTGGTATCTATGAATCGATAATTGAAAGAAAAAAATATATGGTGATTTTCGCTAACTGCTGAGTAATTTGTTTTGCTCATTTTAGACCACAGTAATGCTTATATAAGCTGCATTATTATAATATTTGTTTACATTTACATAGAAGCCATGTGTTGTAGCTCTGAAATCATGGTATTTGATCTCTTTTTGTCTCTTAGGTAGTTACTCTTGCACATCAGAACAATGCAAAAACTTGAATTTTCCAATTTCTTGTCCTGTTGCCATGGTAACCATTGTTCGTAGAAACAAAAATTGCTTTCATTTGATTGTCTTGTGAAACTGTATTATTCTGTGTAAGTTCAACAAAGGATATGACAACATGTGTCACACTTTGTACACACAATTTTGAAAGATATACAAAGAACTGCTGTTGATCACTGTGTTGTTAGGGGTCACAAAAAACGTTTTTAGGTAAAAAAATAGTCTGGTGACCCATATTTTTATTTTTATTTTTTCAAAGCTCATTGTTTTGACCATCTTATGTCAAATTTAAAAAAATATTCATTGGACCATTTTTTTGGAAATTTAAGAAAAATAGAAATTTTTAACAAAATCTGTGTTTTTTGTGTGCAGCAGTGTTGATGTAATTTGAGCCGTAATTAATAAATATGAATAAAACTGCCATTATTTGTGTTTTATTTACATTTTTAATGTTAATTTTGTAATAAATGAAGAACAAACCTTTCAAAATACTTTCAAAGGCTTGAAAAAAATCCAGAGTTTCTACATCAGGTATGTATTTATGCATACACGTGATGTACCAACTTTAGTGACCGTTACCATGGAAACGAGTCTGGTGACATACTATTTTTAACTCAAATTTTTATAGAGGCCATTGCATAGTATATGTATGCAAACTTTTAGAAAAATTCAATGGTGAAAAAAAAATTGCTATATCTGTAGGGATCCACCTTAATTGAAATATGTATATGCCATACGATGAGACAGAGATAATATTTCTGTTGAGAAATGTAGAATTGAAAATTAGAAAATTGAAATCATCAGTTGAAAAAGTAAAATAACAAAAAGAAAAACACAAAGGAAAATTCAAAAATGAAAGTCCCTTATCTAAAGGCAAAATCAAAACCTCAAACACATCAAACGAATGGAAAACAACTGTTATATTCCTGACTTGGTACAGGCATTTTCTTTTGTAGAAAATGGTGGATTAAACCTGGTTTCATAGTTAGCTAAACCTCTCAGATGTATGACAGTCGTATACAATTCCATTATATTGACAACAATGTGTGAGCAAAACAAACAGACATAATAGGTACAAAATGTCAAAAATTGGGGTACAGCTGTCAATATCGAAGAAAAGATTATGATATGTAGCAGATCGTTTTGTTTCGGTGATATCCTTGATACGACATGTTTAGCAGTGATATACGAGATGCAAACATTCACTGAGAAATGTTGGTTATCGAGTGACAGGACTTCATCAACATATCTGAAAATGAAATTAAAGTAATCTGTGAGACAATTTTTCTTTTTGGTTTTGAGGCTATGGATGAATTCTGCTTCACAAAATACAAAAACAAAATGTCAAGTAGGGATGTCCTATTAGTACCCATTGAAAAGCTACTAATCCACCTAGCTCAACAAACCTGTTGTCAAAATGTTCAGCATTTGTATAATATTATTTTTGGTGTATGTGTTATTGGAATCGTTGTCTTCTATAAAAAGCGTAATTTTTCATAACCTAAAAAACGTAATTTGTATCTTCGATTCTCAATAAATGTTTCATGTGTATAAGAAAAGCTTTTTTATTAGACATTGTAGTAGATCTTTCAATTGAGCATGGGTAAAAGTAATGTAAAGCGTAGGTAAATTAAAAGTTTTGATACTTAAACAAAATTATAAAGATTGTTATTGAATAATTTGTCGTAGATCTTTTTAATGTTCAAGAATCAACGTCTATTGCACCACTGGTTAAACATGTTGAATTTACCTCATCACAATGTTTTTGAAGTCGATTTTTTCCTGTAGAAAAAATGGTAGTAAGAACTTTAGAAAGATGTTTAGTCGAACAACAAACAACCCGGCTGTATATTGTTCTTTGTGAGGATTTTAGTGAAGTTAAGGTATTCAGTATAATTACGAGAGACTTTCATTGTCCTTCGTATGTTAATACCAAAGTTGAGAACGACGGATTTGTGATTTTCTAAAATCTCCCCTTCCTGAAAAAAGTAGGGGTATATATGGGATTCCCAGATTTGCTGCGAAATGAAAGTTCTTAAGTTGTTGAGCAGTTTAAATAAATTGATCAGATTGGGTTCATTTGACCAAATCTTTACCTATTTTTTCTTGTAAATAGATATATGAAGGTGTGGTATGAGTGCCAATGAGACAACTCTCTATCCAAGTCACAATTTGTAAAAGTAACCCATTATAGGTCAAAGTACGGCCTTCAACACGGAGCCTTGGCTCACACCGAACAGCAAGCTATAAAGCGCCACAAAAATGACTAGACATAAAGTGTAAAAATTTTAAACAGGAAAACCAACGGTCTAATCTATATAAAAAACGAGAAACGAGAAACACTCATGAACCACATCAAGAAACGACAACCACACCTGCATCCATCGGTTATTTAAATTTTCCAGTTGATTGGCTGAGGAATTCGATATTTCGGGGTTTTGGCTAACAAATTGTTCATTGTTAACGATGCCAAGGTCACCAAGGTTAAAGTCATCCTGAGTGTAGAAATAGTAGTGACTTAAGTTGACACTGACCACCAAATCAACACAAGACTTTAAGAAATGACAATAAACGAGGTTCCTGGCAGGTTAAACTATTATTTGGTAGACATCAAGCCCCCTTCAAACGCCAATAAGACGAATAACAAAAGGTTGACAAATCAATATGATATGAAAATCAATACGGGAAAAGCACTTTACTACAATATATAATGGTATATTAGATATTAGAAACACAAGAACACGACACAAAATGATAAACAATACCGAACAGCGTTAAACTATCTTGAGTCTATTCAAATTGTAATAGAAATAATGATTAATACCCAACAGATTCTAAATAATTTTGAGTCTTAGTCAAATTGAAAGAGAATTCAGTAGAGACTTATTATTTGACATAATTATTATTCTTTTTGTTTCCTTAAAGTTTGAGTTCACGTGTGAATTGTCTATCAGAGAAATATTATGATCGTAACTTTTCATAATATTTTTCAATCGTTTATATACATAATGTTGACTTTGTTTTTTTGTTTGTTGTTTTATTGATATTATTCCAATATATCTAGTATTTTTTTATTTAATTCAGATAGCCAACAAGAAAAGATGGTCTCTGTTCTACTAGACGCAGAGGAATCAACAATGGAGTTCATTGACCTTGAATCCGAATTGGTAAACTAGTAAACATATTATGTTTCATTGTTATCAGTGTTCATACTAAACAAGTGAAAAAAATGACCATTGCTATTTTTCAATAATAAAGTTAAATAGAGTAAATGGACACAAATGACGGACATGTTCTCAATTTGGTTAAATCAGGCATAAACAAGAGCGTTATAATGAATGCGAAAATTGAAATAATCTGTTTCCGTTGATATTATTGAGATGTCAATAACCCTGGTGACATCGACTTCGTAATATGTCTTTTAGTCATCTAGAAAGTAATCTATAGAAGCACTATATTAACACCTCAGTACAATCTATAATTTATATTCTATCCTTTGTATAAGGCACGGAAATTTTACTTCTGAATAAGGCAAGATTATTATTAAAAAACAGAGATAAAAAATAACAAAGGTACAAAACAGAATCATAAGATTAAAACAAAACAATGGCAAAAGAAAAAAAAATCCCGAAAACTACTGTCTACAATACCAAACATAGTAAAATTAAAAAATGATGAACACGAACCCCACCAAAAACATTGGGTAATCTCAGGAGATCCGAAAGGGGAAGCACTTATTTTTCATATTTTCATAGAAACTCCTTAATGAAGTCTACATGTACCCTTATAAAATAAGGAACAAACTTCAAAAAAGGAAGCATAATTAGTTTCCGTAGAAATGCCGACTGTTTATTGAAAACATCGTGCTCCAAAGGTCGCACATATCCTATCAAAAAAAGTCTTGCATCTTGATAATGTCTTGAAGAAATTTATCATGGAATTAGAGTGCTTTTTAGTTTTACAAGAGAGGCAAAAGTTACCAAAGGGAAATTCAAACTTATAAGTCGAAAACAAACTGACAATGCCATGATAAAATACGAAAAATAACGAAAAGACAAACACAACGGTACACAGAACACAACAAAAAACTAAAGACTGAGCAAAACGAACCCCATAAAAAACAGGGGATGAATTCGGGTGGGAAGGTCATAAAATACTGCTCCACATGTAGCAACCGTCGTGTTGTTGATGCAAGTACAAACCCGTTGAAGGTCTATTATAGGTATGTCACATTCGAGAAATGAAGGACAGGATTGTGGTTACGAAAAAAATATTTCATAACGATCAATCAACTCGTGATGGCATCCGTAAAATTTTCGAAGGGACGATTTCAACTTCACCGCTTAGAACTCATGATAGGAAATGCAAACTAAGGAATATCGTTTCAACTGGGAGATATATACTTCATATGCAGGCGATGCGGGAATGTTGCTGCATATAAATAGAATGTCAACAATCGGGAAGCTGAATTCATCTCTTTTGTCGCAAAGTTTTTGTTCTCAACCGACCCTCATTGTCAATTTCTACATCTAAGTCAAGATTTAAGTCAGACTTTACTGTATCTGTTGTATCATTTATTTCAAGTTCAATAGGCGAAAGGGAAAGATCCGTTGAACAGAGTCAACAGACTTTGAATTGTTTAGTGACAGGACATCATCTATATAGCGGAACGTGAAGTTAAAGGATTATGCTAACTTCCTATCATTCTTGCTAAGATGATCCCGTATAAAATTAGTTTCATTTGAATTAAGAAACAAGTCGTCAAGAAAAGGAGCACATTTGGTTCCCAGGGGAATGCCTCAATACGTAACAAATACATTGCATGTTGTCAATCAAGAAATCACGCATCTTGATAATGTCAGTTTCAGAGAATATTTTGTTTGAACAATTTTAAATCAAATTATTTTTACAAAGTATGATATATTCCGTCTTAAAACAAGATATTTGCATTTATGTAGGCCATTCTTATAAAAGAAATAACGTTGGACTATTTTTGGCAATTTGTCTTTACGTTTACAACGAAAAGTACTAGCGTAAAGGGTGAACAAGTCAAATTTTCTGATACAATTGCACGAGGAAAGTAAATCAGTAAGCGCTGCCACATTAAAACACTTAACATTGAGGGGACAAGGTTAAAAATAAATGAGGACATGTGGTTCATGTATGCTTGCCAATGAGACAACTATCCACCAGAGACAAAGGACATGGATGTAAGCAACTTTACGTCACTGTACGGTCTTCAACAATGAACAAAACCAATACCAGTATATACAGTTATAAAAGACAACAGTATAACAAAGTATAAACAATTTAACCGAGAAAACCAAACGTGTAATACTGTAATACAATGTATTCCTGATCTGCAGTAAGGCTGAAATAGGTAAACGTTACATGTTTGGTCAAGAAGTTACACACATTATAAATGACGTCATTTTCTAGGTACATTACTAAGTTTAAGGAACGTTTTTATTGTAATATACTATGATTTTATAATAAAATATAATTAAGGTCGGAAAATGCTGGAAACTGATTATGTGTTCTATATATTATCTGAATTATTTGTCACGTGAATTTTCCCTAGAAAGTGAGGTAAATTCCTATCTTCAAAGGTTTTATATTATTTGAAAAGCGGTTTTTTTTAACAACTAACAGATTGTGCAAATCTAAGATAGATATTCTTTACTTCTATTGGACAGTAATTTAACAACAGAATAAATTATAAGACAATTAGAGTTCAACATACATGCATTAATTCCCGTCTTCCTCAAAAGGACAGTTTTCAAGGTGATAGGTTGTAAATCCCGAGTGTAGACAAGTAATGAATAAAATCGAAAGAATTCCAATTAACACCAAACAAAATTATATTAAGGACATACACAATAAATAAAACCAAAGACAGTCACTAACAAGGTTCCCGACTTTAGACAGACACGTTCATATGTGGCCGGGTTATTCTAGGTTTACTAAGTACTCAACCACCTCCCCATTTATTCACAATTACATGAATTAGTCGATTGACAAAATTAACAAATAAGAATTGCTTGATTTTTTGCATTTATTCACTATTGGCTCTTTCAGTGTGACCACGAGGAAGGAGCATTTGATTGTTATGTGGTAGTTTACTCCATCGATGATAGAAATACATTTGACAGAGGTGTTGATATTTTATACAATCTTCGTCACGAAAAACACATTAACTATGCTATGATTTTAGTTGGGAATAAAAGTGACCTTGTTAGAACCAGAATAATACAACCAGAAGGTAGGTATTTACACCGTGAATAACAAACCATTGAAACAAAAATTAGCTGTTTTTAAACCACGTGACATGGAGCTCGAAAGACGTTCTGTCAGGCCACGTGAAATGGAGCTCGAAAGGTGGTCTTTTAAATCACGTGAATTTGAGCTCGAACGACGCGTTATCAAACCATGTGAAATGCAGCTGGAAAGATGTTCTGTCAAACCACGTTACATTTAGCTCCAAAATGTTCTGTCTAACCACGAGAAATGGAGCTCGAAAGACGTTCTGTTAAATCACGTGAAATGGAGCTCGAAAGATGTTCTGTGAAACCACGTGATATGTAGCTCGAACAATGTTCTGTTAAACCAAATAAAATGTAGCTCGAAAGATGTTCTGTGAAAGCACGTGAAATGGAGCTCTAAAGATGTTTTGTTAAACCGTATGAAATGGAACTCTAAAGATGTTTTGTTAAACCACGTGAAATGGAGCTCGAATGATGGTCTCTCAAACCACGTGACATGGAGTGCAAAAGATGTTCCGTCAAACCACGTGAAATGAACATCAAAAGATCAAAATTGAGCTTAAAATCAATTGTAGTAAAAAAATTATTCAATCTTTCTGTCAGAAACATTGGTTGTTAAGTCATATAGTTGATCTTAACAAAACTTCTGAAGCTTCATTACTATTTATTTAAACAGACTGTATTAGTAGCACAGACAGAATAACACTGTTTTAACTTATGGTCCGTAAACAAACTTACGGAAAGCCTTTTCTACCTCACTTTGAGGAGATTTATTTCTGCCATTGTCTAATTTTCTTTTTGGATAAGGGAAGGCCCAAGTTTTACATATTCGCAACAATTCAAGTTTGCGTTATTATTTTACTGCCGACAAAAATCCCTCGCGTCAATAAGTTGGTTTACAGTATATTAGTACTCTCATACACAGAACATGAACGAATCAAGGATTATGACGTCAACCAGCTTTATAGTACTGATTTGCAAACTTAGTTTCAATAAAACTGTATAACTTATCACATAGAAATTGAAAATAGATATGTATCATATATATTATGCCAGTTACCTTGCATAAAAACATCGAAGCATCAAAGACCTCATTTACATCATCACGAAAGAATCGAATGTTGTGTATACATTTTGTATTTCAAATCTCTAGAATTTATCTAAAAATCTGGATTGTCAGCGGTGAGATTATTATATGATGTCATTTGTTTAAAGATTATATTGTCACAAGTTCTACATATACTATAAAACATATAAAAAAAGAAGATATTGCCAAAGAGACAATAAGCTTATATCTCTTTGATTGAATCTTGAATTTCATTACCCGATAAGTGCATGTAATCAATGCTATATTTTCATTTCATTTTTTTGAAAATTTCCAAAGATAGCTGTAAATGTGAATTTATGCATAATCCTGGCATTTCAGGATTATAGTACAATATGAATTCGTCAGGTTGTTTATTGAACAATATTCTAAGAAGGACAAAGATCATTTTTTTTATTATGAGATCGTATAATCACTTTACAAACACATTTATAATGCTTTTAATTATGGAATGTATTAGATATTGTGCCCGATAGATTAGGATATTAATACTAAGGTTGAAATGTACTGCTGTAAAACAAAAACCTAACATTTGTATGCCACTGCTGAATAGTGCTGTTGACGTTATGAGTAATTATATATTAAATATTAAGCATCAACTTTTTTTTATATTTGTAGAGGCCAAACCTGTGGCAGTACAGTACGACTGCAAATTTATAGAAACTTCAACAGTGCTCAATATAAACATCGACGAACTTCTGGTTGGAATATTGAAACAGATTAGATTAAAGCACAAGCAAGAAGGAAGGGAACGGTTGTGTGGTGCAGAAGTCGGTTGCATTAACAAAAGTAAAACTTTGCTGACCAAAATTTTTGGAAAGAACACATTATCAAAATCATGTGACAATTTGTATGTTTTGTAGTGTTTTATGAAACAGGTGTTTTTGGAAAGCGAACGTACCTCAAAGGTATTCATTACATGGTTTAACCTATTTTTAGTCGATAATGGTATTTTGTAAAAATGGGAAAAGTATATATTTTTTTCAAATGTCATTGAGAATTTCAATGACAATGTCAACGTGAAATTAATGTTTTTTTTTTGGTTTTGCTTTGTTTTTTGAAAAAGAAGAATAAAGAACGTCACAAGTGCTTATTGTTATTACTTTTTAACCACTTCTTTTGTGTATATGGTTTGTAACGAGAATTTAGCAACTTGTCTCCTTAAAACTGCTTTTCTGTGTTTTATTTGGTCATAGTATTTCACATCTCCCATTTTGAATTTTAAGTTTAAATAATTATGATATCAATGATCTAGATTATCTCGCATATGTTTATACTTTAAATTTACTTATCGCCATTTCTTTTTCTTATTATGTAAGTCAATACGTCGTATTCAATTCTTTTCAGGCGGGATTTGATTATTCCAGTTTTGATCGTTTTAATTTTCATGCTTACAAAATTATCATGTTTTTAAGAAAAGCTACCATCCATATTTGAAATATGCCTTAGTTTACATTGATTTCAATACTTCATCCTGTTCAGTCAGTTCCCGGCAAAGTCCATAATTTCTTTTTGAAATACGCTGAGTTCTATTCTTCAATCATAATATTAGGTCAAGGATTTTAAATCTGTATTTTATGAAAAATTTGAAAACATTTTGATGGAATAGTTTGACTTTTTAAACGGGTTAATACTAGTATTAAAGGGAATACTGAAACATACAAAAAAAAAATTTCTTAACTAATGCATATACTTCTTTTACATGTTTTAATTAAGAAATACTGAAACAAACTTAAAGTTAACATCGCATTACTGTTCTTGAATCTATATCGATTTCACAGATACAGTTCAGTATGCTTTTTATTTTACCGTTTTGGAATATCAGTTTCAAAGATTACCACAGTGACTGATATATATATATATATATATTCCATTCCCGTTTACATTTCCTCCATATCGACTCACCGAAACGTTCTTGTCATGAGCAATATGACGGATGGCACCAGTAAAACAGGAATTACTGACATATCAGAGGTTAGATTTGCTAATTTATAATTGTTTCAAAATCGTTTTTATTGCCCCAATGATATCTTCTCTACTTGTTTTTGAAATATTTTATTTTTCATATCTGAAAGGGGGATGTTCACGTGTGATGTAGAAATGTGTTTAATTTCCACAGCTGATACGTATTTGAAAATAAGGAAAATTCACTATCGAAAAATTTTAAAACAAGCTAAGTATCACAATAAATGAAGAATAAAATTAGTGAACATAAGTAGTGTTCCTCAACTGGAACAAATAATATATTATAAGGTGTACTTAAAGATTTTGATTTTTTTTTTATTGTTATTCTCTTCCCTAGCAAACAGATTTTAGTTTTAAATGGTCATTTTGATCTAAACAACTTTTAAAACGTCAAGTCCTGCTGAGAGTTTCAGATATTTTCTTGTTTGAAATTCAGTACTGTTCAGACATATCAATTGTAGTCAATCCAGTACTGATCAGACAAATCAGTATGTTTTTGTTGTGTAAATGACTCCTGCACAGTCTGAAAATAGTCTGAACGGACCTTTATTGACTGCAAGCAAATTTTCTGAAGAGTACTATATTGACCGCAATGGATAAGTATGTCAATTGATTGAAAGTCGAATTTCTCTCGTAAAAATGGTCGAACCAAATTGACAGTATAATATGGTCAACTAGGTGTCATTTGAGCACGATAGTGCAAAAATGAGAAGGTCATATAACTGCCGACAAAATGGTCGAATTAAAAAGATTGAACAATAAGGTCAACTACACATGATGACAAACAGTGCAAAAATGAGAAGGTCATATAACTGCCGACAAAATGGTCGAATTAAAAAGATTGAACAATAAGGTCAACCAACTACACATGATGACAAACAGTACTATTAAGTATACAAGCGTTCTGTAGAACAGTACGATAGTCTAAAAATGGTCAAAGTCCCATAACTTCCTTAAATGTAGTTGAATCAAAATGACGGTACACTATGGTTGACTACACATGATGACATGCAAGTTTCTGTCAAACAATCTCTTGGAATTTTTGTGTTTCAGATGGACGGACGAACACTATTACTATATATTTCGAGGCATTGGCGTCTTGGATCAAAACTAGCTGTTACGAAAACCAGTTTATTTTTTATTTCACGAGCAATTACCTTCATCAGGAACACTCAAAGCTGGATATTTGAAAGCCAAGGATGTATAAGGACCGAAAACGTTGAAGAGTTATAAACCAACAAGTATCTAAAACATTTGCCAAATCCATCTAAGGCCAACTATGCCTGAGGGAGTTGAAACCTTAGTTTCTACGTAATTTCAAAATTTATAAACGGGTAATTTTAGCATGTTTAGATAGTTTGTAATAAATCATGTCAGTACCGAAGTACTGACTACTGAGCTTATGATACCCTCGGGAACTGACAGTCCAGCAGCAGAGGTATCGACTCAGTGCTGTAAAAAAATGAAACAACACGTTATAAATTTCAAGCGTCCGAAGCGCCTTTCTGGATTTACCTTCATCAGTAAGGTTCCAAACTTCGTTTATGTTTTTCTTAGTATCTTGATTTCCGTCTTAATCTGAATTATTAATTCAATTTAATCGATCTCCGAAACTTGCTTCTTTTCAAATTTTAAAATTAATAATCAACACTAAACAAGCAATTATTTTAACTGCATCTTTAATATTTTTAACATATAAGTTGTAAAAGCATTGTATATCATTCCTATGGAGTTTTAGCATAAAACGATAATTTCTGATTTATTTTCGTGTCCGCCGTGTACTTTTTCAGAGATTATCTCCTCTTAAAACTACTAAACCGATTTCAACCAAGAATGAGATGAACGATCCTTGGAGTATATGGTATACAGTTTGTGTGTTTTACCTCGTCAGTCAACAAATATGGCCGCCATTGCTAAAATTAAAACAGGTATGTAAAAACATTAGTTTCGTAGTATCATGAATACCATTAATAGGTAGTGAAAAAGTGACGAAAAAAATAAAAAAAGTCCCAGAATGTGAAGATCTACTTACTACGAATTTCATTAAAAATAACTATTTAAAGACGTTTTTTTTTGCTTATTTTCCTGTTTTTGCCTTGTATTTCAAAAGTTATATTAGATAGGTAGAACCTGTTAAAGACATACATAATCAGTAATACATAATATTTACAAAAACAGATATTACTGCAACCATTGGATAACTCCCGAAAGGGATTTAGCCTGCAATATGTGCAATTGACGGTTCTTATCTAAAATTGGTGTGTGTACCCTTTTATCTCAAAAACTATAATATGTAGTTAAAAACTCTAAAAAAGCAAAAAATACATTTAATCAGATATACAAGATCTGCATAAATACATACACAACCTAAAAATTGAATTACTAAACCAATTTCAACACAATTTGGAGTGAATGTTTCTTATGGTACACATGTATGTAGTATACTTTTGTTTTCGTTCAGTCAGTAGACATGGCCACCATGGCTAAAAAGAACATAAGGGTAAAATGATTAAATATCGCATATATCATGAAATCTATAATAGCATGAATAGAGAAAATCTGGCAGGGCAAAAATGCTAACAATGTCAGGATCTAACTACAAAAATGTACTTTCCTTTTTCCAAATAATCTTGTTGCATTTAATCATTTTTATTGGAAGGGGGATGCCAGGCTTCTATGAGCCTCTTGTTTTACATTCAACACATGTGCGCACGACAAATATTGCCTTGAAGTTTTGTAGGTTATCTTGTTAACTTGTATATTGGCACTAAGCTGTGAAGTGACAGTCATGTTAAGTGTTAAATGTTATAAATTACAAAAGTAGGATTGTTTGTCAAAATGTAAACCTACCCAAAAACAGTAATTATGTGGCCGCATGGAGGGAGATATATAACGCGAGACTTACGTGTATATATCATGTATATTTGTGTTATTATATTTGTGCATATACAACTGTTAAGGTGGAGGCTATGCATACTGCATTTTGATATACATTCGTTTATTTTATTTGGACTATGATTTAATTCGCTAACGTTTTATAAACAGGTTGCCTTGTGTGCTCGAACGACGGAAAGAAATACCATACGAAGAAGGAAGTAGGCATTAAATTCGAAACCAATGTTATTACGGAAAGGACCTTCAGAAATCATTTTGGAATGTCCCCTGCACTGTGAATACGAGAAATACAGTTGTGTGTTCCTATGTGTCATATAGGTACGACAGTCAAAATATGATAAAAGTCCCTTTACTCCCATAAAAATTATAAAATCAATATGACGGTTTCATATGGTCAACTACACATCATGTAAAACAATTTACAAAGTATGAGAGCTTTCTGTCAAATAGTCCCAGAGAAAGTGTGCGTTCATAAGGTGTTGTTGTCACAATATTCCAAAAAAGAAATAGCCAAAGTCCTACTTCTTCCGTAAAAATGATCACATCAAAATGACTGGACAATATAGTCATGTAAACAGTATAGCAAATCCTAGTGTATAGTATCAGAGGAGTTTTGTTAACAAGGTGCCATTGTCACGCTTCTAAAAAATGGTCAAAGTCCCATTACTCCCGTAAAAATAACTGTATGATATGGTGAACTACACATTCTGGCAAATAATCTTACTAATTATGAGAGTTTTCTGTTAACAGTCTTAAAGGAAGTTTGTTCACAGGATGTCACAATACTATAAACATTAGTCAAAGTACCTTTACTCACATACAAATTGTCAGATCAAATTGACGGTATGATATGTTTAACATAGTTAAATTTACATGATTGCAAAGAATCTTACCAAGTATCATAGTTTTCTGTAATATGGTATCAGAGAAGTTTTGGTCGCTACATGTTATTGTCATAATTCTCAATAAGGTTCAAAGCCCCATAACTATTGTAATGATGTTTTAATAACATTGGCGGTACCAAATGGTCATCTACGCATGATGTCAAACAATCCTACCAAGCATGAAATTTTTCAGTAAAATAGACTTAGAAGAGTTGTGTTCACAAGGAGTCAGTGTTACAATACTAAAATAATGGTCAAAGATCCATAACATCCATTCCAATTATTAAATCAAACCGACGATATGACACATTCAAGAGAATCTGACGACAAATAATCATACCAAGT